AAGTAGTTTCAAAGATTCTCCAGGATCCCTTGTCTTGTTTTTGAAGTAATTTGAACGAATCTCGGAGATCCCTCGTGTTTTGTTTTTGAAGTAATTTGAGATAATCTCGGAGTCCCGATTTCCAAATGGTCCCAGGCACCCCTATCTATAGTAAGGCAGTTTTATGTTAAACAATAAAAGAATTTTTCCTTCATCATTAATAAAAAATAGACAAGACACAATTTAGATTTTTTATGCGAAAATGTGGATACGTAGGGTAAAACATCAAGGCAAATTCATAACCCACAAATGTGGGGGTACGTTATTTTATAAAATTTAATGACCCTTACTAAAAAAATGTTAGGGGACATGTTTTTATTTTTGAAGTAATTTGAAAGGATCTCAGGAATACCTTGAAATATATAATTTGAAAGAATCTCGGGTCCCCCCCCCCGTGTTTTCTATTTGAAGTAGTTTCAAAGATTCTCCAGGATCCCTTGTCTTGTTTTTGAAGTAATTTGAACGAATCTCGGAGATCCCTCGTGTTTTGTTTTTGAAGTAATTTGAGATAATCTCGGAGTCCCGATTTCCAAATGGTCCCAGGCACCCCTATCTATAGTAAGGCAGTTTTATGTTAAACAATAAAAGAATTTTTCCTTCATCATTAATAAAAAATAGACAAGACACAATTTAGATTTTTTATGCGAAAATGTGGATACGTAGGGTAAAACATCAAGGCAAATTCATAACCCACAAATGTGGGGGTACGTTATTTTATAAAATTTAATGACCCTTACTAAAAAAATGTTAGGGGACATGTTTTTATTTTTGAAGTAATTTGAAAGGATCTCAGGAATACCTTGAAATATATAATTTGAAAGAATCTCGGGTCCCCCCCCGTGTTTTCTATTTGAAGTAGTTTCAAAGATTCTCCAGGATCCCTTGTCTTGTTTTTGAAGTAATTTGAACGAATCTCGGAGATCCCTCGTGTTTTGTTTTTAAAGTAATTTGAGATAATCTCGGAGTCCCGATTTCCAAATGGTCCCAGGCACCCCTATCTATAGTAAGGTAGTTTTATGTTAAACAATAAAACAATTTTTCCTTCAACAGTAATAAAAAATAGACAAGACACAATTTAGATTTTTTATGCGAAAATGTGGATACGTATGGTAAAACATCAAGGCAAATTCATAAACCACAAATGTGGGAATACGTTATTTTATAAAATTTAATGACCCTTACTAAAAAAATGTTAGGGGACATGTTTTTATTTTTGAAGTAGTTTGAAAGGATCTCAGGAATACCTTGAAATATATAATTTGAAAGAATCTCGGGTACCCCCCCGTGTTTTCTATTTGAAGTAGTTTCAAAGATTCTCCAGGATCCCTTGTCTTGTTTTTGAAGTAATTTGAACGAATCTCGGAGATCCCTCGTGTTTTGTTTTTGAAGTAATTTGAGATAATCTCGGAGTCCCGATTTCCAAATGGTCCCAGGCACCCCTATCTATAGTAAGGCAGTTTTATGTTAAACAATAAAAGAATTTTTCCTTCATCATTAATAAAAAATAGACAAGACACAATTTAGATTTTTTATGCGAAAATGTGGATACGTAGGGTAAAACATCAAGGCAAATTCATAACCCACAAATGTGGGGATACGTTATTTTATAAAATTTAAATGGCGCTTACTTAAAAAAATATCAGAGGACATGTTTTTACTTTTGAAGTAGTTTGAAAAGATCTCGGGGATCCCTTGAAGTATATAATTTGAAAGAATCTCGGGTACCCCCCCGTGTTTTCTATTTGAAGTAGTTTCAAAGATTCTCCAGGATCCCTTGTCTTGTTTTTGAAGTAATTTGAACGAATCTCGGAGATCCCTCGTGTTTTGTTTTTGAAGTAATTTGAGATAATCTCGGAGTCCCGATTTCCAAATGGTCCCAGGCACCCCTACCTATAGTAAGGTAGTTTTATGTTAAACAATAAAACAATTTTTCCTTCAACAGTAATAAAAAATAGACAAGACACAATTTAGATTTTTTATGCGAAAATGTGGATACGTAGGGTAAAACATCAAGGCAAATTCATAACCCACAAATGTGGGGGTACGTTATTTTATAAAATTTAATGACCCTTACTAAAAAAATGTTAGGGGACATGTTTTTATTTTTGAAGTAGTTTGAAAGGATCTCAGGAATACCTTGAAATATATAATTTGAAAGAATCTCGGGTCCCCCCCCGTGTTTTCTATTTGAAGTAGTTTCAAAGATTCTCCAGGATCCCTTGTCTTGTTTTTGAAGTAATTTGAACGAATCTCGGAGATCCCTCGTGTTTTGTTTTTGAAGTAATTTGAGATAATCTCGGAGTCCCGATTTCCAAATGGTCCCAGGCACCCCTATCTATAGTAAGGCAGTTTTATGTTAAACAATAAAAGAATTTTTCCTTCATCATTAATAAAAAATAGACAAGACACAATTTAGATTTTTTATGCGAAAATGTGGATACGTAGGGTAAAACATCAAGGCAAATTCATAACCCACAAATGTGGGGGTACGTTATTTTATAAAATTTAATGACCCTTACTAAAAAAATGTTAGGGGACATGTTTTTATTTTTGAAGTAATTTGAAAGGATCTCAGGAATACCTTGAAATATATAATTTGAAAGAATCTCGGGTCCCCCCCCCCGTGTTTTCTATTTGAAGTAGTTTCAAAGATTCTCCAGGATCCCTTGTCTTGTTTTTGAAGTAATTTGAACGAATCTCGGAGATCCCTCGTGTTTTGTTTTTGAAGTAATTTGAGATAATCTCGGAGTCCCGATTTCCAAATGGTCCCAGGCACCCCTATCTATAGTAAGGCAGTTTTATGTTAAACAATAAAAGAATTTTTCCTTCATCATTAATAAAAAATAGACAAGACACAATTTAGATTTTTTATGCGAAAATGTGGATACGTAGGGTAAAACATCAAGGCAAATTCATAACCCACAAATGTGGGGGTACGTTATTTTATAAAATTTAATGACCCTTACTAAAAAAATGTTAGGGGACATGTTTTTATTTTTGAAGTAGTTTGAAAGGATCTCAGGAATCCCTTGAAGTATATAATTTGAAAGAATCTCGGGTACCTCCCCGTGTTTTCTATTTGAAGTAGTTTCAAAGATTCTCCAGGATCCCTTGTCTTGTTTTTGAAGTAATTTGAACGAATCTCGGAGATCCCTCGTGTTTTGTTTTTAAAGTAATTTGAGATAATCTCGGAGTCCCGATTTCCAAATGGTCCCAGGCACCCCTATCTATAGTAAGGTAGTTTTATGTTAAACAATAAAACAATTTTTCCTTCATCATTAATAAAAAATAGACAAGACACAATTTAGATTTTTTATGCGAAAATGTGGATACGTAGGATAAAACATCAAGGCAAATTCATAAACCACAAATGTGGGGATACGTTATTTTATAAAATTTAAATGGCGCTTACTTAAAAAAATATCAGAGGACATGTTTTTACTTTTGAAGTAGTTTGAAAAGATCTCGGGGATCCCTTGAAGTATATAATTTGAAAGAATCTCGGGTACCTCCCCGTGTTTTCTATTTGAAGTAGTTTCAAAGATTCTCCAGGATCCCTTGTCTTGTTTTTGAAGTAATTTGAACGAATCTCGGAGATCCCTCGTGTTTTGTTTTTGAAGTAATTTGAAATAATCTCGGAGTCCCGATTTCCAAATGGTCCCAGGCACCCCTATCTATAGTAAGGTAGTTTTATGTTAAACAATAAAAGAATTTTTCCTTCATCATTAATAAAAAATAGACAAGACACAATTTAGATTTTTTATGCGAAAATGTGGATACGTAGGATAAAACATCAAGGCAAATTCATAAACCACAAGTGTGAGAGTACGTTATTGTATAAAATTTAAATGCCCCTTACTAAAAAAAATGCCAGGGGACATGTTTTTATTTTTGAAATAGTTTGAAAGGATCTCAGGGATCCCTCGTCTTGTTTTTGAAGTACATAATTTGAAAGAATCTCTGGGACCCCTCATGTTTTGTTTTTGAAGTAATTTGAAAGAATCTCTTGGACTTCTCGTGTTTTGTTTTTGAAGTAGTTTGCAAGAACTCCGGGGAATCCTCGTCTTGTTTTGGAAATAGTTTGAAAGAATGTCGGAGTCCCGATTTCCAGATGGTCCCAGGCACCCCTATCTATAGTAAGGTAATTTTATGTTAAACAATAAAACAATTTTTCTTTAATCATTAACAAAATAGACAAGATGCAATTTAGATTTTTGTGCGAAAACGTGGATACGTAGGTTAAAACTTCAAGGCAAATTCATAAACCACAAGTGTAGGGGTACGTTATTTTATAAAATTTAAATGGCGCTTACTAAAAAAAATGTCACAGGACGTCATAAAATTGTTGGTGGTGACGATTAGCCTAATTTTGGTTAGCATTTCGTAAGAAATTGATTGTTAACAAGTTTCATCTGTAAGATATCAAGGAATAAATTTCACAACAGGTTGTTAATTCATTAGAGAATCATAACGAAAAAATCTACGTTTTACGAGAATTTTAATTCAATGCAATGTTCGTGGTAGCTGTTTTAGCGATAAAGATAGAAAACTGAACCTGAATAATTCCCTGACACGACAAACACGATTGTCGCTGACCTTACGAAAGAACGGTGTCTAAGGCAAGTTCTAACGATTAAACCAACTATACAGGGCGTTCTGCTTGTCGCCTGATACAAAAGCATGAGGTAGTTACATAAACGCTGTATAAACGTAACGAAACCCTTGGCAAACTAAAACCCACTGTATACAAGTGCCAAGTCAGAATTCCAATACATCCAGTTCTTACGTAAACCGTTCACACGCCGAAAATTGGGCGAAATTCGCCCCCGACAGGTCCCGATGACATTCGCTCGAAGACTTTAAGGTTAGGATCGAGCGACCCTGGTAACAACAATTACCGTCGCTTCTATGGGCGGTCTATCACGTGCAAAGGCCGTCTAACGAGTCGCTTTGTCGCTTACCTTCCTGGGCATGATAAAATCGCCGCTGAGCCCCTGCACACCCCTCTTCGTCTCATCGACGGTGGCGCCCTCTGCCATCTCCAAGCCAGAGCTCAACTTTCGCTTTTTCGGCTTTTTCTCGTCCATTTTCACGTCGAAATTTTCCAGCTCGCTCTCGGCTGTAACAGGAAAAGCGGTCATTTTCGGCCGTTTCGGCGTGCCCTTGCCCTTGTCCAGCGCTTTGCGCCTCTGGCTCGAGATATTCGTGTCTAGTTTGGCCTCTTTGCTCAGGGCCAAAATGGACTTGAGCTCTCTGCTCGTTTTGGGTGTGTTACTGTCATCATTCGACTCACTTGCTTGCGCCGGTTCACCTTTCCCTTCGTCCAGGCTCGACGTCTCCGCCTTGTCGGTGCTGTCCTGCGAGGTGTCGCACTCCGGGTACTCGAACTCGGCCGGCTTGTCCGCCTCGAAGGCCTCGCAGCCGTTGCTCTCGATGGGGGCCTCGACGTCCTCGGCCTGCGGGGGCTCCTCGGCCGCCGCCGGCGCCGCCTCCGCTTCCGGTTCAGACATTGTTTGGAGTGTAGTGATCTAACAAGTGCACAGTTGGTATTGTTTGGTTACCAGCGACATGGAGCGACCACCACGCGCATTACTTATTTATGAGGTGGTTCATGGGTTTTTATGGATGCTTGCGTTGTTTTCGATGCTTTTTTCGCCGTTGAGCCGGTTCGGGTCGCGCACTTTTTCGTTATATTTACATAACCTAAAAGAGAGCGGTGGCGGTTAGTTGAGGGTTTTCGGGTGGATGGGGGCGAGGGGTGGCCGTGCTTACCGTTTTCGATGGGTTTTTAGCGGCTGCCCATTGGAATGGGGTAATGGGAGCACGACGGAGCAAAACACATCACAAAACACTACCACTTGCTTCGAAATGGGCGCTAGGGGGTGCTGGAATCGACGCTACTGTCAATGTGAGTGGCGTCTAGGTAGGGGAGATGGTGGAAAACTGGGCTCAAACTCAATTACACTAACGATTTTGTTGGCTTGGAAATCTGGCTATGGTTGTGTGGTCAAGCGGAAGAAGAACCAAGAATAAAACAACTGAGGGGATGAAAATGGAAAGGAAAAACGCTAATAATAATAGAGCGAGGTCTTATTATACTTGTTTCATAAATGGATAAGTGCTAGAACTTCTTACTCAGCTAACAGCAACGATCAGTTTTATGGTGACAACTTTAACAAACAACTTATTGTTATCAAATCGTGTTAACAATTTAATTTGTTAAATGTCACCATATTTTCACACCTGCCACTTTCCGTTTCGATCTGTGTATGTCCATATTTGTTGACGATATTACAAGACAATCTTCGAAATTAGTCAAACTATTACTTTTAAACTTAACTCTAAGGTTTAACCAAATACCTCCTCCAAAAAACTAATGACGTCATCCAAAGATTGTATTGTTTTGACGCATATTAGCATATATATCTGTTGTATATGTTTTTTATTAAATATATTATTATTATTATTATTATTATTATTATTAATGTTAAAAGAATCACACTAAAAACTTATAACAATTGTAAATTCTTAAATTCGTTGTAAATTTATTGTCTGATTTATCTATAGACAACGAAAAAAAAACGACAAAAAAAGGAAAACAAAAATAAGGTGAAACAAGATCAAAATATTGAGATAAAAAAGGGGGAAAAAAGGTGTCAAAAAAGGACACAAAAAATTGTCAAAAAAGCAACAAAAAAGAGGCGACAAAATACAGGATCAAAATAAAAATGGGACAAAAATTGACGAAAAAATGCCAAGTACATAAAAAATGCAACAAAAATAGGTGTCAAAAAGGCGGTATAAGAAGACGAAGAAAAAGTGAGAACAAGGGAAAATGAAACAAAGTCGCTAAAAAAAAAGTGACAAAAAAAACGAAAAAAAAAACAACACAACGATCAAATAAAAAGCATAAAGAAAAAATGAAGAAAGCTAAAAAGCAAGGGCTACAAAAGGAGGACAAAAAAGGCCACAAAATAGATCAAAAAAGAGGACAAAAAAGAAGGCGAAAAAAGGCAAAAATAAGGAAAAATGCGACAAAAATTAGAGAAAAAAAGATAGCGAAAGCATGCAAATTATAAGAAAGGGATAAAAGACGAAGGCCAAAAAAAAGCGACAAAAAAGATCCAAAAAAAGAAAACAAAAAATGCAAGGATAAATGGAAGTAAAAATAAGGCAAAAATAGAACTAAAATAAGGAAGTTACAAAAAAAATTAGCAAAAAACACAAAAACGAGGAAAAAACAGACGACAAGAAAAGGTACCAAAATATGGTGATAAAAAAAGGACAGAAAAAAAAAGGAAGCAAATATATTATTTTTTTTTTAAAGACGACTAAAACAAGGCGAATAGTTACATGAGGGTAAAAAAGGAATGAAAAGAAAGCTTCGAAATATGCGATCAAAATAAAAAGGCGTACAAAAAAGTGGGAAAAAACGACAAAAAGGGTGTTATTAAGAAAAGTGTGAATAAAAGTGAAAACAAAGGAAAATTAAAAAAACGCACCACCAAAAAATGACAAAAAATAAAAAGGCGTAAAAAGAGAAGAAAAAGGTTCTTAAACGGCAACAAAAAGCAACATTAAAAACGTGGCAACAAAAGAGGAAGACAAAAAGAGGCGAAAACAAGGTAAAAAGAAACCAAAAAAAAAACGTGCCAAAAAAAAAAACGCAATAAAAATTGACAAAAAAAAAGTAAAATAAAAAGTGGCCACAAAGAGAAAGTAATAAGCGATAGAAGAGGGTGCAGAAAAGTTGAGAACAAGGGAAAGTGAAAATAAAATTATCTACAAAAAAAATCGAGAAAAAAACAACAAAACAAACGGTGAACATCAAAAAACGTAAAGAAAAGACGAAAAAAGGCTACAAAAACGAGTGCTAAAAAGGAGGACAAAGGGAACAAAAAAAAGATGAAATCAAGGGAAAGGAACCAAAAAAGGCGACAAAATAGATCAAAAAACAGGATAAAAAAAGAACGCAAGAAAAGGCGAAAATAAGGAAAAAAGAGGTGTCAAAAAGGTGGTATAAAAAACAAAGAAAAACTGAGGATAAGGGAAAATGGAACAAAAAAATCAAGACAATAAGAAATGGACAAAAAAAAGAGGAAAACACGGAAATAAAAAATACGAAGAACAAATATATATTCAAAACGAGGCGATAAAAATAGGAGGACAAGAAAACGTACTAAAAAATGGTGAATAAAAAGAAACAAAAGAGGAAATTAAAAAAAGGCGAAAAAAGGGGGAAAAAGAAAAACAAAAACAAGACGAATACTTGACGATAAAAAGAGGATGAAGAAACGTCTCCAAAAAAAGGGCGCCAAAAATTGACCAAAAGAGCGACAAAAAGAGGCGACAAAAGACAAAATACACGACCAAAATAAAAAGTGACCAAAAATAGAAACGGGCGAAGAAAAGACGAGAACAACGGAAAATGAAACAAAAAGTCGCTAGAAAAAAAAAACGTGACAAAAAAAATGAGGAAAAAAACACACCAACGATCAAAATAAAAAACGTAAAGAAAAGATGACAGAAGACTAAAAAACAAGTGGACAAAAGGAACAAAAAAAGATGAAAACAAAGAAAAGGAACCAAAAAAGGCAATAAAACGGATCAAAAAGAAGGCAAGAAAAAGCGAAAATAAGGAAAAAAAATACCGAAAAAATGCGACAATAAACTAGAGAAAGAAAAGATGGCAAAAACATGTAAATTATAAAAAAAGGAATAAAAGACAAGACGAAGGCCAAAAGAAAAAACGACAAAAAAGATCCAAAAAAAGAACATAAAAAATGCGAGGAAAAATGGAACTTAAAAATAGGGCAAAAATAAAACTAAAATAACGCAGTTACAAAAACAATTAGCAAAAAACACAAAAACTAGGTAAAAATAGACGACAAGAAAAGGTACCAGAAAATGGTGATGAAAAAATGAGGAAAAAGAAACCAAAAAAACGCGGGATTTTTTTTGGAAAAAGACGACTAAAACAAGACGAATACATGAGGGTAAAAAAAGGAATGAAAAGAAAGCTTCAAAAAAAAAGGCACAAAAGAATTTACAAAAAGAGCGACAAAATATGCTATCAAATTTAAAAAATTGGTTAAAAAATGGGAAAAAGTGATAAAAAGGGTGTTATTAAGAAAAGGACGAATAAAGGTGAAAACAAAGGAAAATAAAAAAAAAACGCACGACCAAAAAGTGACAAAAAAAGTCAAAAAAACTCTACAGAAAAAAACCTAAAACATGGAGATAGAAGGGGGAAAAATACTACAAAAAAAGACAACAAAAAATTGTACAAAAAAATACTAAATTTTATTTTAAAACAAGAAGAAAAAAGTTCCAAAAAAAGCAACAAAAACCAGTATTAAAAACGTGGCAACAAAAGAGGAAGACAAAAATAGGCGAAAACAAGGTAAAAAGAAACAAAAAAAAACATGTGCCAAGAAAAGGCAATAAAAATTGACAAAAAAAAGAGGTAAAATAAAAAGTGGCCAAAAAGAGAAAGTAATAAGCGATAGAAGAGGGTGCAGAAAAGGCGAGAACAAGGGAAATTGAAAAAACAAATTTCTACAAAAAAAAGGGTGACAAAAAAAATCGAGAAAAAAACAACAAAACAAACGGTTAAAATCAAAAAACGTAAAGAAAAGACGGAAAAAGGTTACAAAAACAAGTGCTAAAAAGGAGGACAAAGGGAACAAAAAAATATGAAAACAAGGGAAAGGAACCAAAAAAGGCAACAAAATAGATCAAAAAAGAGGATAAAAAAAAGAACCCAAGAAAAGGCGAAAATAAAGAAAAAACTAGAGAAAGAAAAGATGGCAAAAGCACGCAAATTATAAAAAAAAGGGACAAAAGACAAGACGAAGACCAAAAAAAGCGACAAAAAAAGATCCAAAAAAAGAAAACAAAAAATGCAAGGAAAAATTGAACTAAAAATAAGGCAAAAATAGAAATAAAATAAGGCAGCTACAAAAAAAAAATAGCAAAAAAACACAAAAACGAGGAAAAAACAGACGACAAGAAAAGGTACCAAAAAATGGTGATGAAAAAATGGGGAAAAAGAAACCAAAAAAACGCGAGAATATTTTTTTTTTTTTAAGACGACTAAAACAAAGCGGACACATGAGGGTAAAAAATTGGTCTAAAGAGTTTCGACAGTACTTCCCTCGCTGTCGGAAACGTGACGACTGCATGCCTATTATGTTTTTTTTTTCGCAGTGGATTTCAAAGAATTCGGTTTTGTTGTTTCTGAGTAAATCAGTAAAATAAATTTACGCATTCATTAATTTTTTTGAGTCACCCTGTATATGCAAATCCAAAAAATATGAATGGAGTGATAGATCACAAGTACAGACTCATCATATTTTGTACATTTTAGATATGATTTATTCGGCAAACTTTCGAGCTGACGTCATCAATTTTTTGGAGGGGATAAGCAAATGTATTTTGACTAAACATTTATTATGCTCTTTATAACCTTAAAACATCTGCAAGATTTCAAAGCATTCGGTTTTGCAGTTCATGATTAAATCGAAAAAATAAATTTACGCATTCATTAATTTTTTTGAGTCACCCTGTATATGCAAATCCAAAAAATATGAATGGAGTGATAAATTACAAGTACAGACTCATCATATTTTGTACAGTTTAGATAAGATTTATTCGGCAAACTTTCGAGCTGACGTCATGAAGTGTTTGGAGGGGATAAGCAAATATATTTTGACTAAACATTTATTATGCTCTTTATGACCTTAAAACATCTGCAAGATTTCAGAGCATTCGGTTTTGTAGTTCCTGATTAAATCAATAAAATATATTTACGCATTCATTAATTTTTTTGAGTCACCCTGTATATGCAAATCCAAAAAATATGAATGGAGTGATAGATCACAAGTACAGACTCATCATATTTTGTACATTTTAGATATGATTTATT